CTGCCTAAATATCTCCTCTTTCTATAATCAGCAAATAGGCATCTTTGTAGGAGTGTCTACTTCTGCTCTTCCTTAACATGCTTAGGAAATGTAAAATTTTGCAAATTCCAATATGAAAATATTATCCCACTGCCATTGTTCGGATTAATGTGAATCAAAACCAGATTACCCACTAGAATTGATACATCTTCTGATGGTACGGTGCTATTACTGGCAGTTTAAATGGATCAGAATAGCTTTATAAAAGTTAGGTGAAAATACACATTTAAATATGGATTTAGAAAACAAATCTAATTAGTGCAAACCTGTAATTTCTTATCTTCTTGAAAAGTAGAGGATATGTTTCAACAGTGCAGAACCCGTTTTTCCAAGGGAAAAACTGTCAAGCAGTAACATGAGTTTAATGCTGTTGTGTTTGGTTTAGTTTTATTGTATATAAAAAACGTTATAAGCAAGAGGAAAAGAAAGCTGAAGAATGGGATTGATTAATGTGACATATCTGAGGGTTTTTTTCCCCTTTCTTTCTTTCTACTACAAGTCTCAGCAGCCAGTCAGAAAGATCAGCTTCACACTCAGTAAATTAAATTTAAATTACACAGTCTTGGTGAGAAAATTGCTCAGTTAATCTAGCCTCCTGAAATGAAATTTTTTTTCCACATGAACTCCATCCTAATTTTTCATACCCTGTTGTTTTCTGCTAGAAGTCCAATCGTTTTATGTTACTTTATTTTTTTCTCTTTTTTTTCTTTTCTTTTTTTTTTAAAAAAACATATTAGTTTTCAGCAAATTTATCTTATGGCTCAGGAATGTAATGTGTTCAGAATGGAAGAAAAAGTGATGGCTAAATAGCTGCTGTTATTTTATTACAAGGAGGGGATTGGAAAAGCACTAAAAATACAAACATTTAAAATATTATCCATGTATTTTGCTACTTTAAAATACTGCAGGAAGTTTAAACAGTGCACTATTTATAAACAATATTGTAAATAAGCAAATATACAATAAACTGTTTTTTATTTAGAAAGGGTAGTTAATGGGAGGATGTAATGTGCTAAATAATAGTATTGCAAGAATTAATACCGCTGACTGTTTGATTCATGGTTGTAGTATTGGACTAGGTAGGAAATGGCCAATAATCACATCCTTAAATTGCCTTTAATCTCTGTTAGCAATTTTGATCTACTTCTCTGCCAATCTTCCTCATGGTATGAATTCATTCCATTTATTAACCACCTGTAGTCAACCACAAATGATAAAAAAATATTCACAATAAGTTATATGTTTACAAATTAGCAGATGTATAAAGGACCCTACAGTCCTTTTTAATTTCCTTTTTTCCTACTTTTTTGGTATTTTAATTCTTGTTAAATGTGCAAGAAGGGAGCAAACGTCTTCTACAGGGATGCTGTTCAAACGTCAGATATAGCTATTGTGAAGCAATTGCCTTTGAATCTTTATGAACCCTTTACTTTATGGAAGTGGATATTCTTAGGGTAAGGAAATCAAATGGTAGATTCCAGCCCCTAAGACTATCTACTTCTAGCTCCACCTATCTCTCATAGTTTCTGCCTATCGGAGTACATTTAGCAGAGTGGACATGGTCTGAGTCTCTTCAGTGATCTGTATCACCTGGTGGGTTCTAGAAAGAATGCTCCTCTGACAAGGTATCACTTTCACCCTGAGATTAAGTTGGCTCTGACCCTTTGGGCCTTCCAGGAGGCCATGAAGACCTGACTTTTTCCCCAGGCACTGGAGTCAGGATGTTAGTAGAATCCAGAATAAGGGTGTGAGATGTGTTAGTAAGGTGTTTTTACAGTGGCGTCAACCTGGTTCTATTCATTGATTTACATGCCAAGTTATATTTTAGCTCAGTGCCCAGAGTTCTGTTGGTAACTGGGTGGCTATATACTCTTGTTAAATAAATAAGTCAGCATGTAAGTAAATAAGTGATAAGTCCCAGAGGGTTTTATAGATTAAAACCAGCACTTTGTACCTGAAAAACTGTGAGAAGCCAATCAGGAGTTATAATGTGCTCCTGGTAATGTGCACCAGCTAATAAATGGACCAGTGCCTTCTGCACCAATTACAGTTTCTAGCTGGTCTTCAGAGGCAGGCCCAAGTGGAGCACTTCCAGTGGTATAGCACAAGTGTATTGATATAAAGGCATGAGTATTATTTTTTTAAATACAATATATAATGGGGAAAGGATATTTTAGAATGTTAGGGTTGGAAGTGACCTTGGAAGTCTTTTAGTCCATACCTCTAACCAGGACAGAAACCCTCAGATTATCCCAAAGATCAGCTATCCAGTCTTTGTTTAAAAACCACCAATATTGGAACACCCACAATTACATGAGGCAGGTGGCTATTCTACTTCTAAATAATTCTCATAGTCAAAAGGTTATTCCTGGTCTTGAGCTTGTATCTCTCTCTGTAAAGCTTTCATCCACTGGCTTTGTCCTACTCTCAGAGAGTACAAAGAATAAATTCACACTCTCTTCCATGTGACATTTGTTGAAATATTAAATGATTGCTATCATGACTCCCTTTAGTATTATTTCCTTTAGACTAAACATATCCATTTCTTTTAAATGTTCTTCATAGGATGTATCCTCCAAGCCTTCCACCATTTCTCTGCTTTTCTCCATGCTCTTTCTGGTACCTCAATATCTTTCTCATATTGTGGCAACCAAAACTGGGCACAATATTCCAGGTATAGTCTGACCAAGGCAGCATAGAACAGAACTGTCACTTCCTGTGATGTCAATAGTATATCTCTGTGGATGCAGCACAAGATTTGCATTGGCTGTTTTGACAGCTGCAATACACATCTAGGATTCTTGTATGTAGGGTTCCTGCAAGGAAAGATTGGTTGTAAATAATTTTAAAACATGTAATTTTAATAACTGCAAAATTATATTGTGTTGTGATATCTAAATTAGGCCAATATGTTCTATATTAGACCACACAGGAAAACAGTTGAAAGAATTTTGATACCGGTCTAAAAGAAAAATAAATCTAATTGAATTAGAGAACAGTACTAGATAATGTTGACTATTCAGCCAAGAGATACCTTAATTTATGGATGTATCACTGTGATTCTGTCAATCTGTAGGACATTCCACTACACTCCTTTCCACTGGAAAGGAGAGAGCCTTGAAATCTGCTGTTAATGAAAGCTCTCTGAGCAGCTGCCCTGCAAATTATGGGTGTTTATCATGGTTACTACTACTAATGACTAGCATTCATTTTTGCCAAAGAGATCTTTCATCCATCTTTCACCTTCCAATTAAAGAGGACAAAATTGAAGCCCTAGCAAATGCTACTCTGTGCTACATCATGAAACTGAATAGTGTTCGTTTTGTTTTTCTGTGGTGACTAGAAAGGTAGAGCAGGGATCAGATATATCTGCAACTTGTTTTATACCATGGATGAAACTGATATAAAACAGCCTTGTACTTAATTAGATTGTTAGTTCATTTTGTCTTGGATTATCACTATCTTGTTGAATAGCAGTTCTCAGCTGCCTCGTTATCTCCTCTCTGCTTCTAATGTCCTGCAGGTTATGAATATTGACAATGCAGAGCAACTATTCAATTCCTGATCTCTTGTGTGGATAACTAACTACATACACATGCACATACTGCATATGTTAGGAATGTTACAAATTTATATATTAATTCTTCAATAAGAAAAAGCAGAAGGCATTAACCAGTCCATATCTGATTTTTTTTAATATAAATGATGCTGTGCTTCAGTGATTAGATATCCTAGACAAATATATAAGGCATATTCTGGACCTTAGTGTATTGCCTAATGAAAATAATAATAATTAAAAAAAAAGAAACTGAAAAGGAATAATTTGGGGAGATGTCAATTCTATCAAACTCTTCTATCAGCAAATTCCTGGTCAGAGGTGAAGAGCAATTAAAATAATGTCCGAGCAAACCAGATAGTCATGTAAGTGAGATTTGATTAAAATGCTTCTAGAGTGCTGTTGAGTAGTGAAAGTTTTCCAGCTGTTGTAAACAAAGGAAACAAAGCAAATTAAATGGTGCAGAGAAGAGAGAAACAAGAATAAGATGTTGTCATGGTCAGAGAGGTACTGAGCAACACAATGTCTCAGTGGATTTGTGACATAATCTTTTGTTAGCTCTCAAATAAAAAAAGGATCTTACATCACCATTAAAAAAATCTTACAGAATGTTATAAGTTTCCTAGGATCTGTTATGATTGTGCCTGCAGAATATTGACAGAGGTGAGGACTGACTTGATTGATCCAATGGATTCTCTTATTTATTTGCAGACCACAGATGACATCTTGGTGGCCTCAGCTGAATGCCCCAGCGATGATGAGGACATTGATCCCTGTGAGACGAGCTCAGGTGGGTTAGGTTAGTCAACTTTTTTATTACTTCCTTTTTATTTTTATTCTTTGCATGTAGCAGTGATGAAAGAACCTTTTATTTCAGCCTATATTCATGATGAAGCAAAATTCATTATCTTGGGTCCCAGATAGGAATTGCCAATATAATTCTCTGAGTGTATATGTATCTGTTATGTATGAGAGAAAGAAAGAGAGATAAAGACTCCTACTAAAGGCTATTTAGTTGGCTATTTAGGTTTCTTCTATTATTTTTATTAAACTATCTTCCAAAACAACTAATTAATTATATGACAGTGGGCTATTTTAAGCAATATGTTTATTAAAGATCCTGTAGAAGAGATATTTAAAAAGCAGAGATTTTAGAATTTTAAGATTTGAGCCCTCCGAAAGGAAAAAATACATCTATGACTGACAAGACTTGCTGATTGCCTGGAACTGTATATATTTCTGCTGAGCAGAAGGCATTTTGCCATGGCAGATTTCATAGATTGAAACTGAAAATATATTAGATTTGCAACCACACTATGAAATCTCTATAAGGAAACTATTATTTGTTTATGAACATTGAGAGATCTCTATATATGTAGGTAGATAATGGAGCATACCTTGTGATCTGGTAAACAGTTCAGCCAATATTCAAATTACAGCTGACCATCTCTGCTTCTTTTAGGAGGAGGGTAAGGGGAGGTTGAAATGCATCTCTGACAAGATTGATAATCACAAACACCCATTCATGCAATGTGCATGAATGAGTGACTGAGGACAACTTATAAGATATACAGTTGCTTCCATTGTTAAGATTTTATCATGCAGTTTCTTTTTAAAAGGACAGTTCTGTTATCTGCAACAAAAGATAATTATAAGAAGATAAAGAAATAAGACAAGAAAGGGGTTTGCTTTGTGCAGCAAATTTGAATTGTTTTTTTTTCCTGTGGAGAGATGTTTTTCTGTGGACATCCCTGTGGAGATAAGATTGGCCCCTATTTTGACAAACCTTTGCAAAGACCTGAAGATGTGGTTCTGCCAATGGGAACCCCAGAGTGATACAGAGACCCCAAAGTGGACACCAGAGTGATACAGAGCCCATAAAGTGGCTGAACTGATTCTTGTCAGCAAAGAGTAGAGGTTTATTGGTTTTCTTACAGGGGTTTTATCTTTGTGAACCACCTAGAGTCACCATGAATGAATTGGGCAGCCATATAAATATTCTAAATAAATATTTTCATTTTTCTCCATAATGACAATGGCTATACAAATTTTAAAGTTCCAGGATTTTTGGTATGCTACACTTGGTGACACCTAAATCTGCCTTTTAGTCAGGATGTAGATCTCTTAGGCAGTTCCCCAGAGCTTCAGATGAAGGATTTTTCCATCATCTAATTGGTCCTCTAGCAATTCATGGGTTGAATCTGAGACCATTCATTGACTGAACTGATTGCTTCCCCACATTCTTCATTAGATTTATTTTATAAAGACCAAGAAATATATTACAACTTACTTAAAAGAATTCAGAGTGCTGTTACCTTCCCATCGAAGTGGCATCTATTTATCTACTCACATTTGCATGCTTTTGAACTGCTAGGTTGGCAGGAGCTGAGGCGAGGACAGGAACTCACCCCATCACATGGCACTCAGGTCTCAAACCTGGCTGCTGGCTTTCCAGCCAACAAGCCCAGTGTTTTCAATCACTGAGCCACCATGCTGCCCTGTTGGAGGACAATAGAAAGTCAATTTTGACTCCTTTTGATCTAGATGCAACAGTGCAAATTTTTGGAAGATTATGGAAATGTTTTGTCCCTACCTTCTTCCAAGATGGTTATAATTTTCTGGTCTACTTTATTGTTGATATATAATGTCTGAGCAATTAAGCCAACTCTGAAATCATTATTTCCTACATTTTTTTCTAAGAAACACATATATTTATACATATTTGTACATTAATAAATTTCCTGCTAGGATTGTTTTTCATGATTCATGATGCCTTTTCAAGTTCTAGGAATCAAAAGTACAAACACATCTAATTTATAATACTTTAGTAGATTCCATGTATTGAAACAGCAAGAGTATATTTATTAGATATATTCATATAAGCAAATAACTACCACGATCCATATTTCACATTTATTTATATTAGAGTTATCAGGGCCAAAAAGCACCTCAGTGCTATTTGTATTTTGTTTTTTATCCGATGTTTCAAAGGACATAGAATCAAATGCAGGTTTACAATTTGTATTTCTGGAAGTAAAAGCTATATTTATTAACACATTCACAACTTCATGCACATTTTTGTAACTCATAATCTGACTTGCCAGGTTAGGTTGAATTCTAGGAAAAACTAGGTTAGATGCTTGTTTAGTGTATTGGCTCCCAAGTACCACCATTCCCATACAGTTTTATACCTTCAAAGCTGGGCCAGTCATACCTTGGCATTTTAGCCACACCCTTTTCCTATTGAATGCAATTGCCTTTGTTCTGTTATTTTAGGGACAACTATTCTGCCTCCATAGCTTGCTTTATGTGGGCCTCATGTACTTAGAATTTTATATATGTCCATTCACACAAACACGGGGTACTAAGCTGCACATTATCACAATATAATAGCATTATGTAATGATTGACATAGTATTAATATACTACTATATGATTTATTAGTAAGGTGACTAACTTTTTTACAATGAGAAGGACACAAATAAATTGAAGAAAAAAATATCATAAATAAAACATTTTATTCATTGCAACAATACAGAATACACTATAATATGATAAATGCATAATAAAAAAACATTTGTAACAATAACATTTTATATTGTAATTATGCTTACATGCCTATTAATTATTATTTAAATGAGTACAAAAGAAGGACTGTCCTCCCTAAAGGAGGACGATTGGTCACCTTATTATTACTTAATGTAGCTATACGTGGTTTATAGAGTCCTAAAAATAGATGTTAAGAATTGTGAAATCTCAGTCTTCTACAAGTTAAGATTTGCTTATCCTTCTGTGTTGGACTAATTCATTTACCTATTTTGGAACAGCACTTTGTTTGTGAGTTAAAGGTTATGAATTCTATTAGCTGCAACGGTTTCCTCCAAAGGTTTAAACAACATCCCAAATCATTATTTCCTTCTGTATTAGAATAACTTGCTTCATCCCTCCTTTCCTCCCTCCCTCTTTCTTTTTCCATCTCTTCCCACGTAACTGACTCTCCTTGTTGTCTCCTGAGAAAGTATCTCCTGAGAGTAGGCAAAATTTCTAGTGTTGTTGTGCATTGCTTTGAAAAGATATTTCAGCTCTGATATTTTGCCTCTGTGAGGGCGTTTGAATACTAGAAGATTATACACAATACAATCCTGCTCATGTGCCTTTCATTATAAAAAAAAACCTGGCTGGCATATAGATATATTTAGAGGACACAAAATCATGTACCTTTCCTGTACAATCATGGATATAGAATTGGTGATAAAGAAATCACTGCACATTCATAGTGAGTGAGTGAGTGAGTGAGAGAGGGAGGGAGAGGGAGAGAGAGAGAGAGAGAGAGAGAAAGAAAGAGAGACAAGATTTTACACTTATAGGCACGCTGCTTTAGAGCAGCAGCTGGGGTGAGAGTGGGGGACACGTCTCTTCCTCTTTTTGTTGTCATCACAAGCAGTGTTCGTTTTGGTAAGTTGTTATAAATGCAGAGATAATAATGGCACATCAGATGTGAATGCTTATGGATAAGTGTTTTTGATGTATAGTAAAAACTTAAGTTGACATAAAGATCCGCATCTATATATCTGTAGTTGCTGATTTACAGTTTGATATAGATTGTGCTGATTTATTAATTTTTGATTTATTTAGAAAGTAAGGCATAATATCATTCCCTGGGAGAAATAGCCTATCAGGATTGTCACTGCCAGCAAGCCCCTGTATTATCATCTCTGATTTTGCTTGCTGTGCACCTGCGTTTCAATAAGTAATGAATGCAAAGATGTGACTTGCAAGAAATATAGGAAATGAAAATGTAATGGAGTCAGCAGCCTGCTAATCAAACAGTGCATGAAACATTGAATAAAAATAAAACCAGAATAAAAGTGATCAAACCATATAAAATACAGTTTACAGTGGAATACACAAAGATATCACACAAACAGTATTTATGGAGAGAAAAATCCAATCATATGTCTTGCCCATTCTTTGCTCTTACATTACAACCTTTCCATTCCTGTCTGCATGTACTCTATGTAAGGAGAACAAATCTGTAGTGCCTGCTTCTTGAGCACATCTCCTCAAGTATGGGTTTGAATAATGATATATTTCATTATTTGAGGATGGAAAGTAGTTAAGATAAATCAATAGACTAGAAATAATTTATCTTATCTACAACCAAAGTCATCCCATGGAGATAATTCTCAGTTCCTCTTCCTGATGCTGATATGATTGAGACGCTGCTGTCATTTTTATATCATTGTAGTCTTTTCCATTACAGATTTATTTCTTACATGTTCAGTTTTTGTATTTGATAAGCATAATAGAACCAGACTGATATGTGTACATTTTGCTTCCTTCATGAATTGAATTCATTATGCATTCAACAGTGACCTTTTAATCCCAGCTGAATATTTATAAAGATAACTATTAGAAGATCTTCAAAAATATTTTGTGAATCTGAGATTCCTGGTGGCACAGTGTTTAAAATGCAGTATTACAGGTTGACTCTGCCCATAGCCAGGGGTTCAATCCCGATGGGGCTCAAGGTTGACTCAGCCTTCCATCCTTCTGAAGTCAGTAAAATGAGGACCCACATTGTTGAGTGCAGTATGCTGATATTGTAAACTACTCATAAAGTGTTGTAAAGCACTATGGAGCACTATATAAGTCTAAGTGCTATTGCTATTGCTATTACCAAATTATTCATGTATAGATATTCAATCTGATATTGACAGGTGGCATTCTCAAAGATATCCCAAATATATACCAGCTTCTTCCCCATAGATAGCATCAAATCTGCATATAATAAAATAT